CTCCCCACAGCACAAACAATGCTAATAAGCTACTGCACAGTATTATTAGGCTACTGTGCAGTAGATAAAGGCATCTTGAGTGAACTTGTATTTTGGCATCATCACCTCCAGCACCCCCCTCCCTCCCCAAAGTCAGCGGCGCTGCTAGAAGCAAGCAGAAAGGCAGAGCAGGGGAGGGGGGTGGGAAGAGGTGATAGAGTCTGGCTGCCTGGGCAGGTGTCCCTGTTCCTGGTTTGTCCCTGTCTCTGGCTGCCATGCTGCAGGCATTTGGCAGTTGTATGCCCAGCCCACTGCTGCCTAACTGCCCATGTGGAGCCACTGCTGAGGCTAGGAGCAATCACGACACCCCTAGCTCATCTGCATGACCTGCCCAGCCAGGCGGAGAGAGGGAGAGCTGGGAAGGGGCAGATAGAATGCGGCTGCCTGGGCAGATGCCCGTCAGTCCCCAGCACTGGGCATCTCCGTGGGCCCATTCTGAAGCAGCCATGTCTTTGTAGGGTAGCTCTTCCTTTTCTATACCTGCCTACTTCCCTTAAGTCCATAGATTGTACATTGAATTATAAGTCTTTGTTGCAGCTTTGGAGGCAAAGCTGCACTTGTCAGTTACCATTGCACCAGACTTCACTCTTTGAAGGATAAATTAGCTTGTTTTTTACATGTAGAACAGATAAGCAGGTGTCCTCCTCTTAAGCTTCGAACTGAAAATCATTCATATTCCTCCTCAGTGCTACAACACAAGACTTTCAGTTTGTGGTTCCTTCTACTCAGCTTCGTATGGATGTTCTTTGCAAGAACATTGATGCTGCTCTTGGTAGTACACACAATGAATAGAAAGGCAAACCATTATTTGAGGGTGCAGTTGTCAACATAATCTCATTAAAGTAAAATACATCACCAAGCATTCAGGATCTGAGACCCTGAAAAGCCTGCTGTGGCACCATTTATACAGAGGGGCCTTTCCATTCAGTTATTGATACCTGGAACTTCAGATTCCTATCTAGTAGCTATGATGAGTGGAACCTCCCACACCATCACCAGAATTTATGCCATTGAACATGCACTCCTTTATGAAATATTCTTTTTGAGAAGAATACACTCCTCAGGGTATATCTCTGTAAGTGGGTAAAGCTGGGCAGGTGCTCCTGGTGCTTGAGGGGCTTGATCCTGCATGGTAATTCCCAGGATATGCAGGATCAGGTCCCTCAAGCCCCTGGAACACATGCCTGTAGTGGCTGGAAAGTGTAGGCAGCTCTAAGCTGCCCAGGCTCTCCTGCTACCAAACAAATAGACATCCGGTGCTAAATAGTGACACAAATTAATATCTCCTTTGTCGTGGCCACATATTTGTGGCATGAGAAGGGGCATGGACATCTAGTTATGTGGCCTTTGTGCCACCATAAAAATTGTATGGCAGCAGCAAGGCAACGAAAAGTATTGTCTGTTTCCATCCTTACAGAATTTTTGTCCTCCTTTTTTTTTTTTTTCCTTTCTTTTCTTTTTTTTTAACCACAGGCTATATCCTTCCTGGTTGAGTGCTCAGAGTCTGGAGATGATAAAGGATCTTCAATAAAGCTTTGCTTTACTTCTGTGTCCCTTGCAAGACAATTAGGGAGCTTACCCTGCCACCTAAACAGTTAACATTATTTGTGGTATTGTTCATTTCATTGTATTGTTGTTTGCTTTCTGCCTCAAGAGTCTTGCAGTTTCTGTCACTCTGGGAAAGATATCCTTATTTTATTAATATTGCTGTCTGTACCAGCTATCCCTGTAGTTTGAGAAATCACAGTTTCTTTTATGTTAAGAGAATAAAGACCAGATTCTTTGATGATTGAGTTTTTGAGAGTTTTTTCAAGTTTACACTACAGTCGGTATTTTACTAACCACATTCTTGCTCTGCCATGTTGGAAGAATACTGGCAAAAATTCAAAATGCAAATGACTCTATAAAGAGCAAATCAGACAAGTTTACATTCTGATTCTTCTGCAGAAGGAAATATGCTGCTGTGTATATACCCGTAGGTTTGCTAAGTCATGAGTATTCTTTTTCCTCTTTTATTTTCATAGCATCAGTTGGCTGAATAAAAACAGATTAGCCTTTTTTAAATATCAAAACAATCCATTTGTTCCTGCTTTTCTTCTTCATGTATTTTTTTAAATTACAGTCAAGTTTTTAGTGAAGACATAGCTCGCTATACAACTGCACTTTCAAAATTTGAATAAATAGGGAAAAAATTGCTCTTGTTTAGAGATGACAGTGCTTAATTTAAAGAAGGGCTTGGTAGCATTTGTGTATTTAGTTACATTGCTTTTATTTGCATTAACTCCTCTTAATTTCACACTGGTTTTTCATAGAAAAAACATTTTCCTTTCACAGATATTTATATGCTTTTGGACAGAAGGTTTGGAAAAGATGGAAAAAACGCTACTTTGTCCTTGTTCAGGTTAGTATTTTTCTTGTCTACCAAATTGGGACAGTGAAGGTTTCCAGAAGCATAATTTCAAAGCTTTAAACGCTTTTGGTTTCTGCACTATCTAAGCAGTGTTGTCATCTTTGGAAATAGATATCTTACACGTACGTTCAAAGCATTGCCCAGATTTCCTAGCATCAGAAGTCCTACCAAGCTCAGAACAAGTGAAGGCACTTTATAGATGCATAGGTCAGATCCTGCTGTTTAATAATGTACAGTATAAGAACCCAAATTTATACACTCCTGTATTAAGTGCTTATGACATTGAATGATCCCATGAATAATGGCTCTTTCTAGTAGCACACAGTTAAACTAAAACAATATTTTAAAGGGGATGATAATATTTTCTCCTCCCTAAGTATTCTAATTCAGTTATTGTACCCTGTGTTTGAAATTAAGTCAAAACAACAAAGGATTATTATATCATTCTTTGATATATTTTATGTTCAGTATTTCTGTTTACATAGGCAATTTGTAATGAAAACAGAATAATAATAATGATAGCAAGTGCAAGGCTGTTCTTGTTTCTGACCACAAAAATATGCTGAGGTAATATATCTAGCCTTTTTTTTCCCAACCCAGAACCCAAAACCAAATATCTCTTGAATTCCAGCAAGAGGTAATAAAATACAAATGTATTATTAATATATTAAAATGGAAATGCATGTCTGTCTGTCTAAAGTTTTTTAACTGGAGGGATGACAGAACAAGGAGCAATGGTCTCAAGTTACAGCAAGGGAAGTTTAGGTTAGATATTAGGAAAAAAATTCTCACTGGGAGGGTAGTAAAACACTGGAACAGGTTACCCAGAGTGGTGGTGGAATCTCCTTCCTTGGTTTTCAAAACCCAGGTAGACAAAACTTTGGCTGGGACGATCTCATTGAGGCTGGTCCTGCTTTGAGCAGGGGTTTGGACTAGATGACCTTCTGAGGTCCCTTCCGACCCTAATTTTCTATGATTCTATGATTTAATTTAGCATGTTTAAAAAAAATCAGTATTTCCTTCCTCATACCTGTCTTCAAAGTGTAGTTGAAAGTTCCTGAGCAAATTCAGAGAGTTGCTCTTCCATGTTTGTCTTGCCCAGTTAATAGAAAAAGATTCTTGCAATGATAAGAATCTCCTTAAGTATGTTTTAATTTTATTATTGTCATGGTTCAGGGCTGTCCAACTTCTAGGTGGCAGGGGCTGCATGCCCTGCAGGCCACAGACCCTGAGGCTGCATGCTATCTCCCATCACTGTGCGTAACCCTGGTCTACTCCCAGCCACATCCCCAACCTGGGTCCACTCCAAGCCACACAGGCAGCTTAAGGCCACTCCCAGCTGTGCGTGCAGTTCAGGTGGCGCAGGTCCACTCCTGGATGCAAATGCAATCTGGCTTCTCTCTTCCCAGCTGTACACTGAGTGTGAGCAGCGAGACCCTTTCCTTGTCCCTTCCCACCATGACATTCTGTCCCCAGAAGTGGAGCAGGAAGCAGAACCCAGAAGAGAGATAGAGCCCAGAGCCACCATAGCAGCAGGAGCAATGGGAAGAGCAGCAGCTGGGCAGGAGCCTGTGAGATGCATGTTCAGTCTTTGGGGCTCACAGTTGGACAGCTCTGTTAGTTGAATGGAACTTATCACCCCCAAGAATGTTTTAAGGATGCAGGCTTCTGTAATGTTGGGTAATTAGACCCAGCAGCTCCCTTACAGCATTCTGTTACTCATCCCTGCTCAGGCTCTTCCCTTTGCCCTTCCAGTGATTAGAATGTAAAGGATTTTGAAATGGAAAAACAAAACAACAGCAAAAACTTTGTAAAAGCAAAGTTAAAAGTTATGAGTACACAAGTCCAGTTCTGCTCCTGTTCAGGTAAATAACAAATTCCCATGGCAACAGGGTGAGATTGTGCTTCATATCAGTAACTTAATGGTAAAAAGCCTTATGAGAGTGCATAGGCTCCTCAGGGGGAATATTGACTTTACTTATTGTTGACAGGTTGTTCTGAGCCTTCTAAGGCTCTGATGGGAGGTTTTTAGTGCCCTCCAAGGAGCCTATTGAGGGGGAGTCCCTGATGTGAATATTAAGACTTGTATGTAGAGGGAAGCAGGGAATCCCTCAAAATATATGGAATAGGTAAAATACCTCCTTATCCTGCTGTCTCACTATGCTGTCTTTCTGTACCTCCTGGACTCTGCTGCCTACCATTTTACAAAGGTTTTGTTTTCTTCTTACCTGCCACTGTCTTCTGTGGACTTCCTAAGACATGCACAAGTGAACATTTTAGATGGCCAGAAAGGTTGCTTGAACACTATGGTATTAGGAAGATTAGTTAATTCCCTTAAAGTGAATTAAAGCACCTCCAGTTTTCTATTCTTAGCTATAATGTAAGGGAATTTAAAAGCATTACAAGAATTTTCTAAATGTTATGGACTACTTCCTTCCATATCAGAACTTTATTTTGGCTCATATCAGTACGGTTGATGCACATTATCCATGTGACAGAAACATACAGTTCAAATACAGGCTTTATCTACTATATCTTGTTAACTAAATAGCAGCTATACAATATCAGATATACCATCAGCCTCTGTGCATCGCGTTAGTGTAAAAGAAAGATGTGAACAAACATGGAACAATGAATATCAACTTGTATTGATTTGTAATTCACACAGGTGGTGATCTCTCTTCCCCCACCCCATATTCATTCAAATTATATTGTTAAACCATTAAAACAGTAAGGACATGAAATTCAGTCACACAGTGATAGAGAGTATCAACCTGGTTTACTCACGGCTATGAAATGTGACTCAAGTGTGAAATTAGACGAGTAATGTTAATAGCATAAAAAAAACTGATATGAAGACTACGTATCCCTGTGGTCATTATCCTTATTCTAAGTTACTGCTATTTTAAGAGGGAACAATACACTCATCTAGGAAGGCTACAAGTGGCTTTTAAGTGTTTGGAAATTGTAACTACTCTGTTCTGTGATATAATTATTTGTGTGTTCCTTTTAATATACACTCATTTCTCCAGAAGGTATTCTATACCTCTTTTCAATCTAAAGTGCGTGGGCATGATGATGGGGAGCCAGCCTTTTCGGATGAACTTGAAACAGGAACAAGTTTTTGAAGTTCATCAAAAATCACCACCCATTTCCTTGACAACACACTTCTGTTTTAATGTCCATATTAAATCAGTGAGGCAATGAGGACTCTGATGCATAATAGTAGGGAATAGTTTATTGTATGTATGCATTCTTTTAAAACTCACAGCTTATTTATAACTCTCAATAACCAGCAAGTTAAGCAGTAGATAACATGAGACAGCCTATCAACTTATTTTTGTTAACCTCAGTTTCTTTCTCTGTTCTTATTCTTCTTTTTTTGTCACTCTTATTAGTTGCATTTTTTTCAAATTAACCTGTGTGCTCTTGTTAAAAGCCTCATAAAACTTTAAAAGAAAATCATTCATCTTATTAGGTTGTTGAGGAAAGGGCGTCACAGCTGGGAATGGCCTGGTCTATGTTAAATATTTCAATGGACTGCCTGGAAGGAGAGCCATGTGAAAGGAAGTAAAACAGATCAGTGACACTTCGATATTATAGCAAATTCTAAATTACAGCTGTCTCAGTCACTATTTTGTTTCAAACATATAAGGACTATCTCATTTCATATACTCTTGTAATAATTCTGCAAAGCTAAGAGAAAATATTTTACAAATTTTTTGAAAAATAGGTCTTGCTTTTCCTTTATAGGCCAGTTTCTCAAAACTGAAAAAGAAGAATAAGCCAGCCCAGGTGAAAGAAAAAAATTAAGCAGCGAAATGTGGATAATGATGGGAATTGTTTAAAATAATTTTATTAAATGGGACAAAAAATATAAGGAAAGAAGACTACATTCATATATGAAATAAGTATAGACAAATAGAGAATGTGGTGCCACTAAACATAATACAGTCAAGGAACTCTGAAAAACTGACCAACAGAGTAAAACAGTATGAGGGAAATCTCACTAGTGGACAGTAGTATAGAAATGGACAGTAGTGTTAAGGACAATAAAGAGTTTAAATATATCAGGACTAAAATGAACCTTCATAACGGAAATTGTAGGGTTGTCAATGGTAGTGAAGAAGAAGCAGAAGTGCTCAGTAAATATTTCTTTTCTCTATATGGGCAACAGCCAGATAAAGTATTCATATCATATTTTGTATTCCATCAGTAACTGAATAGAACGTTAAATTATAGCTGCTGCTGCTTTTTGTGTTCTTGTCATAGACTAGATGTTTTTCCAGAATTGTCCACAAGCAGTGGCTCTTTCCATTGCTGCAGCAAGGTCCTCCTTTGCATAGATTTCACCAAGGAGTCGGCAAACAAACAAGTGTTCCATAATCTGCACATCACTGCACTTGAATATATTTGTGTCATTTAGAGGATCCCCATTTGATCATGTTTGTTTTTGATCTTCCAGTTCACATGCGCAGGCAATTCAGGCATCACTATGTTGCTCAGTTTATATCAGCCCCTCTGGGAAGGTTCTCCTGAGGTTCCAGGTCCATTTTGGAGCACCTGATTGTGCATAATCTTTCCTTCCATAACCTCAGTTTTGCCCTGTCAGCCTTTGTGTCCAACGGCACGACATTGGTCACAAAACGTTTTCACACTTTATGCCATTTAGTTATTCTGTGTGACCATAGAGTACATGCTTAGGGTCTTCCATCTGTCTTGACCTTTCTTTTTGACGTGCTACCTATCTTCTGATATCAGGTGGTATAATGCCAGCCAGTAAATACAAGCTATCCTTTAGTGTTGGCTTTAGACATCTTGTTATTTCATAACAGCTGTCATTTAGAACTGTGTCTAGTTTCTTGGTACAAACTGATTGTTCCCATACTGGACATGCATATTCCTCAGTAGACTAGCACAAGGCAGTAGCAGTGGTTCATAATGTAGCTGGATTCACTCCCCACATTGATGTGACCAACTTTTAAAGTACC